GTCCTTCTTCCTCAATCAACATTGCTCCCTAATAAAGTTCTAAATTAGACATTTATCCTCTTTAATCCTTCATAAAATTAAACATTTTAAAACTTTAAGCATTTTATCTCATATACCTTCTTAAAATACTATAATCTTATGTTAAACATTTTAAAACTCTCTTAATGCATCAATAAGACATTAAGTCATTTCTCAAAATATAAATTTCAAGCCCTTCAGAAAGGTATCCCTCAAATTTTTAATTAGCCATTTTAATACCTTGATAACTCTTAAAAAGCTATCATTTTTACCTCGATAACTCTTAAAAAGCTATCATTTTTATATCCAAAACCAATTGTAATAACACACTTCCTTTATATTATTATCTTAGAATAAACTTTAAAAATACAAATTTAATTAAGCTTCTCAACCTATTGCCAAAATCCTCCCAAAAAAAGATTAATCTTCAATTCTTCCCTTCTTTCTGTATTTTTTCCAGGCCTTTTTCTTCGATAATTCTTTCTTCTTCAGCATTGCTCCTCCTCCTGTTTTTATTTTCGAAAATTTTAAAATTTGGATTTGAGGTTGATGTCTCTTTGAAAGTTTTTGTCTTCTTAAAGTTATTTCATTTAATTTGAAACCCCCATAAATCTCTCTCAAGTCCTCCTGATTAAATTCTTCCAGATTCCTTTGCTTTCCCCTCTTGATCTGGAAAGCATCCTTTTTATCCAAAGTCACATTAAACTGGATTTCTGCCCCATCTTCTTCCAACAGCTCACTACTGTCTAACAAGCTTTGAAATGATACTATATTCTCCTTTGTCTCCATGTTTTGAGTCAAAACAGTTTCCTCTTCCTGAGACCTTTCATCAAAAAAATCTTTAAGACTTTCCAGTAAAGCAGTGGTTTGTGACTCAAAAATTTCATGTATTATAACTCTTATTGGTGTATTTGCTGGTGTGTGTAATAATAGTCCTTCAGCACTTTCAAAGGTACCAGCTATTTTCTTTTTTTTCAAAGTCCAATTATTCACACAATTTAAAAATGTAAATTAGTTGAAATCAATTCCATAGTCTTTTGCTTTCTGCTTCCACTTTAAATCTTTTTCTTAATGTGTAATCCGGTAGTTATTAACAATGTTGCAAATGTTAAAAAGCCCTTTCACTGGTAAGTTTAGTTTTCACACCCTCAGGCGCCATTTCCCCCCCTTTTTAAACAGAGTTAAAGCTCAATACTTGCTTTTTGTCGTTCTCCTGATTTTGCTCTGCCAGCATCCAAAGTCATGATGTCTTATAAAACTTAAAATTGCATTGCTGGTGTGGTCACTATGCCTAGGTCTGCAAAAGGCAGACTCACCCCGGATCTGGAGCTAACGAAGGGCTTTCAGGGAGCTCTCACCCTGCAAACCCCAGGCTCAAAAAGAAAAAAACCTGGGGAGCTCTACCCAGACCCTTCTGCTCTTCTCTCCCCCTTTTTCCCAGGGGGAGATTTTTTAGCCGCTAGACAGCTGGTTTTCGCTGTTCTAGCGGCTATACAGATCGCGGGGCTGGAGCTCCTACAGGAGCGTCTGTTCGGCGTTCTTAGAGCCACCGGAAGTCCTTGATATGTACTACTTGTAAACAAATTATATTGATTTTTAATTTCTCCAATTTGTGGAATACTTTCCTTCTTTTAGTTGCCATATTAAGTCCATTTATGTTCATTGTAATTAATTTTTTCTCCTCCATGTTTATACTTTATATAAGGGTTTTGCTGATCTGGTGGATCTCAGTTCACGCTGTTCTTTATATTCTATGGCACCTCCTACTGCACCCTCTAGTGCACCCTCCTCCTTTTCCATCATCACTAGATCTTCTTCTTGTAGTTGGAGCAGTGTCTCTTCCTTTCTTGGCTCAGCATCTTTTTCTCTTAGATATTCCACCAAAAATGCTTTAGCTCTATCGATTGAATTTATTTTAAATCTTTGCATTTGCCATGTAAACATCAATCCTTCTGGTATCAGCCAGCTGTAGTCCACTCCTTTCTGGAGCAATATTTTTGTTAAAAATTGATACTCTCTTCTCAACTCTCTTACTCTTCTCGGTATTTGCTTCAGCACTTGTATTGCAATGCTTTCTCTTTTGCATTCTGCAGTGTTTGTGTTTTAATTGACTTTTTGGTAAATCTTATATGGACTTCTCTTGGTAATTTATTTCTCATTGCGTATCTAGTATATACTCGATACATCTCATCAACACCATCCAACATTTTTTCTTTAGGAATTTCTAAAGCTCCTGCACGAATTTCTATCATTTTTTCTGCCAAATTTTCTCCTTTTTCTTCCTCCACATTTTGAAATCTTAAGTAAAATTCTGATTTATCCATCTCCCATCCTAAGTCACTTCTATCGCGTTCAACTTCTTCTAATCTATTTTCCATGTCTCTGATTTTTTTGTCTCTTTGTTCCTCCTTTTCTTCAATTTTTTCAAGTCTATCTTCATATTTCTTCATCATCTGTTGTATATTCTCCACTTTTTCATCTGTTTTCTCTATTTTTGATTTTATATCTTGTATTCCTTGCAAAATCATCTGCATTGTCACATCCTTTTCTTTCTCACATTCTTTCTCCTTTTCTTGCTGCATCATTGCCTGAATTGATCATTGTCCTCCCGCTGGTGATGAGGAAGGGTCGATCCAGCAGAGCTAACAACTGCTGCTTTTTTGCTCATTTCTATAGATAATCCAAATCAAACATAGAATAAAGTGTCTTCAGGTTCGTCTCAACCCTAATCCATTTTTAAAAATGGCAGGAGATTAAAGAAAAAGTAAAAAAAAAGAAACAGTAAAAGACCAAAAAGAAAAAGGGAAAAAGAAAAAAGAAAAAAAAAAGAACACTCTTCAGGCTCTTGTGTGCCCTAATCCAATCACATGAGATAGCCAAAGACAAATTCAAATAACAATCCCCAATCAGTAAATAAAAAAAGCCGGGGGGAAAAAAAGAGGAAAAGGGGAAAAAATCTTCAGGCTCTTGTATGCCTTAATCCAATTGAATAAACACGTATTGTGAAGGAGTGAAAGGGGGGAAAAAAAGGGAGAAGAAAAAAATATATATGTTCCAACAATTTGAAAATAAAAATATTGGAGAAGTGGAAAAGTTAAAATAGAAAGGGGAAGGCTTTCTGTCTAAATTAAAAGTCCACAACTGTGTAACATTCAAAGTCTGTTTCCTGTGCCACACTTAATTTAACAGCTCTCTTTTCCAAAGTCGCTGTTATCTTCTTCTTTTCAGTTTTAATCACCTTTCAGCAATGTTTTTCCCAGCAGAGCATTTGTATAAACAATCTTGTAGACACTCTTTGATGTTCTTTTAAATTTTATTTATGAGCTGGCCCATAACACAGTTGCTACTTTCTTTCCTTTCCCCTCAGTTAAAAAAAACAAGCAGAAAATACAATGTTTCAGTCCACTAGATGGCAATGTCTCTTATTTCTTCCACTTCTTGTTCTATTTCCAATTAACAATCAGACAAAAAGAGAGTTAAAAAGTAAAAGTCAACCAAAAACAAAAATGACAAAGCTAATTCCAAAATTTATAAACTCAAAATGCATCAAGAGTTTAGTATTTAACCAAACAAAAAAGCGAATCTCCTTTCAATCCAGTCCAGTCCAAATTAAAATAAAACTTTCCACTGGCATCCACACATGAAAATAGTTTGTATTTTAGGAGAATTAACTTAAATTCAAGCTCAATTCCGCCGCCATTTTACTTCTATATTTAGTTCTAGTTGCATTTGCTCTTCAGGGTATTCTTAAAATCCAAGTTTAAAAAGCCTCTCACCAGATCGTAACACTTTCACTCATTTTCTTCCGTTCGGAGCTATCCCAACTTCAGCAGCTTAATGAGTGCCTCTTCAGCGCCGGAAAAAAGAGCTTCTCCTGGATCAACCAGGGACTTTGCGGTGTCCCTGGGATCAGCAGGATGTGCCCTTCTCTATCACTCTCTCAGCAGGATAGTGAGGTCCAAATTGGACCATCCAGCGGTGGAGATATCGGTGGTGGTTTCGGAGCCCCGAAACTTCCCATCGTTCCGTTGCGACGCCAGCCCCGCCTCCAGGCAACTGGACTTCCTTGTTTTTTTCCTTGAAAATGTTTTGTTTCTCATCCAAGAAGCTGAAGAACTGAAGAAGCTACTTGGATGAGAAGCAAAATGTCTTCAAGAAAAAAAATCAAGAAAGCCCAGTTGCCTTTTGGAAAAGCACCTTTGGGACAACCAGTCTCCAATTTGATTATTGACTCTTGCAACATCCCTATGGTCAGGTGATCAAAATTTGAGTGCTTGGAAACCGGCATGTATTTAGAATGGCTGCAGAGTCCCAGAGTCAACTGGCTTCTGATTGGCAATGGGAGAACCTGGATTTGCTTAATGTGATGATTTGCTTAACAACAGCAGCAAAAGAAGTCATAAAATCAGGCACAGTTGACTTAATGATTGCATCATTTCGCAAGGGAAATTCTGGTCCCCATTGTGGTCATAATCAAGGACTACCTGTAGGTGGTGCTGTTTTCTCTGCCAAAGAGCATAGACTTTATAAAATGACTTACAGGTAATCCTCAATTTACAAAAGTTCATTTAGTGACCATTCAAAGTTACAGCGGCACTGAAAAAAGCGACTTATTACTGTTTTTCACACTTACAACTGTTGAAGCAAATTCAGAGGCTTGGCAACTGGTTCATATTTAAGACCGTTGCTGTGTCCCAAGGTCAAGTGAGCAACTTTTGTGACTCTCTGCCAAGCAAAGTGAATGGGGCAGCCAGATTTACTTTTAACAACCAGGTTACTAACTTATCAACCACAGTGATTCACTTAACAACCGTGGCAAGAAAGTTCATAAAATGGGGCAAAACTCACTTAACAAATGTCTCACTTAACAACAAAAATTTTGGGCTCCATTGTGGTCGTAAGTCGAGAACTGCCTCTTCTTGGGAAGCAACCAGGTTTTATGAGACTCTTTCCAGTTAATGTCTTTCTTTTTTCTTCTGCAGACATTTATGGTCTTGAACAAAGGAAAAACAATCTTTCGATTTACTGCCACACGGGCTTTATACATCTTCAGTCCTTTCCACCGAATCAGGCGGATGACAATTAAAGTTTTAATTCATTCATATCCTTTATGTAATTGCTTCCTCTTCACCTCACCTCTGTTTTCATTCTGGCTTTTTTTTTGTTTTGATGAGGAAGCCCAGGGGTGGGCTTCAGATCCTTTAGCAACAGGTTCGTTGCCCCGTTGCTGGGTGGGTGTGGCCATGGTGGGTGTGGCCTAGTCAGCTGCCTGCACCATGGGGGGGAGGGCATTTTTCGCCTCTCCGTACTCAGGAGGCTTTCCTCGAGCCTCCGGGGAGGGCGAAAACTGCTTCCCCTGGGGTCTGGAGGCCCTCCAGAGGCCGGAAACAGGCCTGTTTCTGGACTTCCAGACCCTCCAGTAGGCCCGTTTTTTGCCCTCCCAGACCCTTTGCGTGGCCCTTGCACTTACTGGAATGATGAACGGGCCGCGTGGAGACTGCTGGGAGGGGCGGGGTGGGGTGGGTGTGGCCAGCCAGGGGTGGCATTTGGGGGTTCGCCGAACTCCAGCGATCCTTGGCTAGAGGATCGTCTGAACCCTGCTGAACCCCCAGGAGCCCACCCCTGAGAAAATCCCTATGTTCTCCAGGAGAAATAAAAGAAAATACTTGATGTTCAAAGGTTAAATAATTTTTTCTCGAGCTAGTTCAGAGTCATTTATTTGCATCTCTTTTAAATAACTCAGGAATTGGGATCTTCCCAAGAGCAACAATTTTATGTGGACAATATTTGTAGGCTATGGACAGTGAGGACTAGTGTCATGTTCTCAAAACATCATTTTCCTGAACTCCTATAATTCACATTGTTTACTTGGTTTATCATGATCACTATTTTAACTAACTGCGTATTCATGGCTCTTTCGGATTCATCACAGACAAACAGCAAAGAGAACTCTTCAAGCAAATACGTTGAGTAAGTAGTTTTAGCAATAATATTGCACTTTCATTCTAACACAATATTGCATTAAAAAATGGTGAAAAAGGTAAAGGAGTCCCTGCAGATTTTACTCCGCTAGTTGTTGCAGACTGTAGGAGGCGCTGCTCATCTCCGTTTCAAGGCCATCGAGCCAGCGCTGTCTGAAGACATTTCCGCGATCATGTGGCCAGCATGACATCATGGAACGCTGTTACCTTCCCACCAAAGTGGTGCCTATTTATCTACTCACATTTGCATGCTTTCTAACTGCTAAGGTTGGCAGGAGCTGGGGTGAAAATGGGAGCTCACCGCATTGCGTATTGCTTGGGTCTTGAACCCAGGCTGTCAGCTTTCTACTGACAAGCCCAGCATCTTAACCATTGAGCCACCACACCATCCATTAGGAGATAAAAATATATATCCTCCTCCAAATGTTCTATAAACTTTAAGAATGTTCAAAGAGTAACAACAGACAGAGCAGTGGTAGTTTGCTACCAGTTCGCCCCGGATCAGGCGAACTGGTAGCGGTGGCAGCGGGAGGCTCCACCCACCTGCCTGTGCATGCGCAAAAGCATCACACACCCACACAAGCACACCCACACCCACAAGCGAACCGGTAGTGACTGGTTTTGAAACCCGCCCCTGAGGCAGAGAGGCATCTTGTCTTAGTGTGTTTTAAATTAGTGTGTTTTTATCTAGAAATTGTGTACATGTGCGTGTGAGAGAGAGAGGACTAGCACTCAATATTTCAAATTCATTTTGCCTAAGTATTTATTTGCCTATAGTAAAATCACACCTTCCAAATCTACAGGCACATCTACAGGTAGATTTTGACAAACCAACACCTGCACTTTTCAAAAGTTGTGTTGTGATTTCAAAATAATAAACCAAACACATTACTTGTGTTTACTTGGGTCCTTGATCACTTAGCAACCATTCAAAGTTATGACTGACCCCCTGCAAAGGTACTTATGACCTAGTTTCAAAGTTCCAACAGCCCCCTATAGCCATAGGCACTTGGCAACCAGCTGTCAACTCGCAAAACTTTCCTGACCTGCTCCCGAGTTGCCATAGTCAGGGGGATGGAGAATCGAGCCTTGCAGCTGCATTGGGGAATTTGCACCTCACATCCTAGCCAGCCAAAATCAAGGCCATCTCCACAGAAACCAGTAACGGCTGGAGGGAGTGATTTCTTTGACCCACGAAATTACTTCATGGGGGAAATGTGACTGATGGCACACCTTGTGGGGAGGGGAAAGTAGGGTCAGAGGCAAGGCGCGAATTGAGTGAAGTCAGAGTTGGCTTCACTTGGTCCGTGCCGACATGACACTCCTAATAAACAACTGGATTTTTCTTGAAACGTTGCTTGAGGCTCCTGATTTCATTAGGACATTAGTCAGAATCCTGATACCAGGCTTCATTTGTCTGCAATGCCCTGTCATGTGACAATGGCTCCAAAGAGCTGTGTTGGTACAGTGGTGCAGTTCAATCATGACCAACTCAAGATTGACTCAACCTTCCATCCTCCCGAGATGGGTAAAATGAGGATCCAGATTGTTGGGAGCGATAGGCTGACATTTGTAAACCATTCAGCTGTAAAGCATTGTGAAGCAGTATATAAATCTAAGTGCTATTGCTATAATAACATTTTTTTCTGAAAACCAGTATTTACTTGCAGTTCTGGCAAAGCTCACCCCATAATGAACAATGGCTTTGCTTAACGACTGCCACAAAGAAAGATCATACAATCGGGTCAGTCAGGTGATGATGTGTTTTATGAGTGTCATGACATACAACCATAATGAACAAACACCATTACGGTCGTAAGTCGAGGAGTACCTATAAAGTAATAAATATTATTTATGAGAAACATGCACACTAGGAAAATTGTGTGGGACTGCTTGGGAAGCATGCTAGAAAATGCACAGATGCTCTTGCTGAATTTATAAGATGATGAAGAAGTGGAGATGAGATAAATTTCCATTTGGAAAAACAACTGTAACAGTGAAAGCGATGGAGGCTCTGGTTTTATCAGCAAAAATGTGCCACATCTTATATAAGAACTGAAGTAACCCAAAATTTTCTATGACTTCCTGGAGAGATATTTGTTCCAAGACAATAGCAACAGCACTTAGACTTATATACCGCTTTGCAGTGCTTTACATCCCTCTCTAAGTGGTTTACAAAGTCAGCCTATTGCCCTCAACAATCTGGGTCCTCATTTTACCCACCTCAGAAGGATGGAAGGCTGAGTCAACCTAAGCCTGGTGAGACAACAAAAATATAAGTACAGGTAATCCTCGAGTTACGAATGTAATGGAGCCTGGTAATTACATTCATAATCCAAGGATTTGTAGGACTGAATCACGTAACTTGAATGTGATCACTCCCTACTTTTGCCCTCACATTCGCTAATTGAATGTGCGGGTCATTAAGCGCATGAGATATCTCAGCCTAGTGCTTCTGACTCAAGGCTTCACCCAAGGCTTCCCCCGACCCCCTGAGATATCTCATACTCCGTCCCTCCTGCTCAACTGGGTCACTTATCTTACTTAGATCTTGATGATCAACAGAGCTGTCTCCTCTCCAGCCTTGAGCCAAGGCTTGCCAAAGCTGTAGGGACAAGATGTTATGTCCCCCCAGGCTTTGGTTGTCTTTGCAAAAAGTTTTTGCTGACGAGAACGGAGCTCGGGAGGGGCATGTGTGTCCCTCCAGGCCTCCGTTTATGGCTGGAAAGGCCTTTCCTCAAGAACTTTGCCAATGAGAACAGAGCATGGGGTGCCTCAGAGGCTGGGCGAGGCTGATCATAAATTGAGGACTACCTGTAGCCATAAATGTGAGGTGAATTCCTCACATGAATTCCTCCAAGATCTCTAGGTGGGATCTGGCATTCTTGCCCAAAATTTTCTTAGGGGCAGACTTTTTTTTTTTTAATTTGATTTATATGCCGCCCTTCTCCGGAGACTCAGGGCGGCTTACAATGCATTAAGCAATAATGTACTGGCATCCAAGGTCTGAAACACTGCTGACCCTACTTTGTATTTTAACTCTATTCAGGTATACTTTCACTGGAATTTATACTTTTGAATGTCTGATCAAGATTCTGGCAAGAGGGTTCTGCTTGAATGAGTTCACTTTCCTCCGGGACCCGTGGAACTGGCTGGATTTCAGTGTCATCGTGATGGCGTAAGTCCCACCTTTCTCCTTTGATCAACCTATAATTAAGGAGCGAGTGGGCCTCCTTAGTTTTTTCCTCAAGAGTTGACAGTATTTATTTATTTATTGTTGGTTTGTTCCATGGCCCTTCCTTATTCTTCCAGCCCAAATACTGGTATCTCAGCAGCTTGCTTATTTATTTATTTATTTATTTATTTATTTATTTATTTATTTATTTATTTATTTATTTATTGGTTCGATTTATTTGCCGGCCTTCTCCGGAGACTCAGGGCGGCTTACAATGCGTTAAGCAACAGCCTTCATACTTTTGTATATACCTGCTTAGTAGGGCTTTCGGCCCCCCGCTAAGCGGTGTTCTTTTTTTATACAAAGTCAGCTTATTGCCCCCCCACAATCCGGGTCCTCATTTTACCTACCTTAGAAAGGATGGAAGGCTGAGTCAACCTTGAGCCTGGTGAGATTCAAATTTGCAGTAATTGCAGGCAGCTGGTGCTACTTAACAGCACTTTAGTCTGCTGCGCCACCAAGGCTCTTATATTCCCTTCCTTGTTATAAAGATACAAAAATGGTAGAATAAAATAGAGAAAAAAGTACAAAATAAAGTAGTGATGGCCTTGGTACTCAACAGCTTTGAGACTCACAGAATTTGGTCTCCACGCATTTTGACATGAAAATTTTGTCTTAGTACTCATTGTTTGTTTGGTACTCAACACATAAGCTAGAACTTGTCAGTGTCAGTTGCTTTGTGACTCTCTACATTTTTCCTTATGGGAAAAATTCATTTGGTACACGCTGGTTTTTGATATTCATTACACCTCTCAGAACCAATAAATGATGAGTAACGAGCTACCACTATCAGTATGATAACAATGCTACTGACAAAAATATTATAACCACAAAGTTAACAATATGGTTGGTCAAACAATTAGCCAGAAAAACTCATAATGCTGCATATAGTGCTTTTAATACTGTGTAAAGAAGTATTGAGTTAAATCTATCACTTTGTCCCCAAGTTGACAGCTGAGGAGATATTGCTCGGTGCAGTTATAATAATATAGTGCCATTAAATGCTTTGTATGAATGTTAGCAGGGGATGATGGGGCTTGTACCAGTAGTACCATGGTTGTCTAAAAGCAGATTCCAAGAGACTGACCTGAAAAATTAATGACTTTTTGTGTTCTGAATCTTCATCAAACATATACATCTTCTTGGCTGGAGAAAAAACAAACAGAGATGAATGACTTGTAGTATCAATCTTTCTACTGACATTGCAAACAATATTGTAAAAATTGAAGTTAATAGATAAATAGGTAAATAAATGTGTGTGTGTGTGTGTGTGTATGTGTATGTATGTATAAACACATACACATACATATACATACATACTCATTTTGTGGAATTAGGTAGAAGTTTTCATAATGCATGAGTAGGTTTATCAGTTAGGAAGAGGAATGAAGAAATACAGGCCATCCTTGATTTATGACTACAGTTGGCACCATAATTTCAATTGCTAGGCAACACAATTGTTAAATGAATTGCCCCCAGTTTTATGGTCTTTTCCTCCCATAGTTATTAAGCAAATCACTGCAATATGTAAGTGAATCAGTCATTAAGCAAATCCAGCTTCCCCCATTGACTTTGCTTGTGGGAAACCAGTTGGGAAGGTGACCCCAGGACATTGCAACCATCATAAGTACATGCCAGTTGCCAAGTGCCTAAATTTGGATCACCTGACTATGAGGATGCTTGCAATGATCACGTGAAAAACAATCACAAATCACCTTTTTCAGTGCTGTTGTAACTTCAAAGAGTCACTAAACAAATACATAGTTGTAAATTGAGGACTATCTATAGTCTCTTCATAATCCAAGATGACCAATCTGTAAATATGGTTCCATTTATTATCTACTTTTGGCTGGAAAATTCTGGGAGTTGAAGTCCACTCATCTTTCAATGACCAAGATTGAGAAAATCTGCTCTACGAGCCGCTAAAATATGACAATGAAATTGTCATCCATTCTGGCAATTTACCAAGTTTTCAAGAGCCTGTCAGCCTGGCTACTAAGACACCCCCCCCCCCAGGCACTATGGAAATGTTCCCAAGCCTGAATTTTCATGTCAAGGGAGAAAAATGGATCAATATTTTGAATTTTCTGACAAGAAGCGTCACATTTTAAACCCATAAACTCTCCTGAAAGGAAACCAAAGAGGCAATTACAAGCCTCATGAGGCCTTTCCTATGTCTTGTTGTGCAGAGAATAATTCTGTTTGAAAGACAGGGAGGAATGCTGCCAAGATTCAGAAGTAGGGAGACCATGTGTGTATGTGAGATGACTCCCACGGAAGCTTCCCCAGATACCTCTCCAGATGTCAATTTGGAGGAGGATGAACCAGTCCTGGACACTTCTGGAGGGGAATTGTTCAAACAGCTGGCTGAGAGGAATTTGGCTGAACCACAACTGCAGCAGGACAGCCCTGAGGCTTCAGGTGGACTGCACACTGTTGTAGCTGGTTAGTGACGAGAAAGAGGTACTGTCTTCTGCATCTGATCTGAGAACACATAGCAGTAGCATTTAGCACTTAGACTTATATACCGCTTCACAGTGCTTTATAGCCCTGTCTGAGTAGTTTACAGAGTCAGCCTATTACCCCCAACAATCTGGGTCCTCATTTTACTGACCTCAGAAGGATGGAAGGCTGAGTCAACCTTGAGCTGGTGGGAATTGAACTGCTAGCAATTGGAAGAATTAGCCTGCAATACTGGTTTCTAGCAGGGGTGAAATGCTACCGGTTTGCTCCGGTTTGGACGAATCAGTAGTAAAAAAATGCTTTAAAAAGTTAAAAAAAAGAGGTTCCGACGATCACAGCTGTGCCGCGCGATCATCGGAACATTGTTTTTACTGTTTAAAAGCATTTTTTTACTACTGGTTCGGGCGAATACGTAGTAAAAAAATGCTTTAAAAAAGTAAAAAAAAACATTCCAACATCGCGCGGCACAGCTGTGATCATTGGACTTTTTTTTTTTACTTTCTAAAGCATTTTTTTACTACCTATTTGCCCGAACCGGCCCACCTAGTCACATGACCCACCAAGCCACGCCCACCAAGCCATGCCCACAGAACTGGTAGCAAAAAATTTTTGCACTTCACCACGGCTTTCTAACCACTGCGCCACCAAGTAGGGCAGAGAAAAGGCAGAAGCAGTGAAGGTCATCCCGACTACTTGCAAGGAGGCAGCCTCTTGGTGGGCTGCACCAGAAGCAGCACAGCAGTCAAATGGAGATGATGTGTTCATTTCCTAGCTACGTTTTTCGCGACCCTTGGGATTTTTGCCTTGTTTTGGATTGACACTGTGCCTTGACTTTGGGTCATGGCTTGTGAACTCTAGACTTTTCTTGCCTCTTGTATGGTGGAATTAATTTTGCCTGGTGAATTTATCTTGTTTGGGAAACTTTCAAGTGCCTTGTAGACTCTTCAGCTGTTGCTCTGTGGACTAGCATTGACCTGCTTTTGGCTGGACTTAATTGGGACAGTTCTGGGATTTTAGTGAAGGGAATTGCTAGGGAATATTAATAAACCCACTAAACTGCTGTTACGTGTGTGTTTCTACAGAGAGGGGTAAAAAAAAGTCCAGACAGTGACTACAATCAGGTGATCAAAGTTCTGCCCCTTTTCTATATGCATCATGATACATAGAAAAAGGGGTGAGGTTTTGTTTGCATGATTGGGACCAGTGGTGGAGATTCAGCTGGTTTGGGCTGATTCAAGTGAACCGGTAGTTAAATTGCTGGCTGGCCCCGCTCTTCCCCATCCCCTTCCAGGAGTCCCCACGCACCCCATTTTGGCTCCCAGGTAAGTGCAGGGAGGCCTACTAGGCCCAAAATTGGGTGCGGGGAAGTGTGGAGCCCCCCCATGGCCCATTTTCACTCCCAGAAGGCTGCAGGAAGGCCTCCTAGGGCCAAAATAGGCTGCAGGGGTGCGGGGCAGCCTCCCATGGCCCATTTTTGCTCCCAGGAGGCTTCAGGGAAGCCTATTAAGCCCAAAATGGGGTACAGGGGGTGCAGTGCGCGCCTCCTCCCCATGGGTGCAGTGCGCCCCCCCCCCCCCGGTGGGCCATTTTTGCTCCCAGGAGGGGTGCAGGAAGCCGAGTGCTGATTGTCACCCTGCCTCTCTTAGGGCAGAGAACCAGTTGTTAAATTATTTGAATCCCACCAGTCGTTGGGACTGTCATTTTGATGTTCTTGAACCTTCTCTACCTTTGAGAAAGACGCTTGAAGTTCTCCGTGAGCATTTAATCCCCAGATGTCAGACTTTCTCCTTGTGTCTAATTTTTGCATTGATTTGCATATTTCGGTTTTGCATTTATTTTGCACTTATTTATTTTGGAAAAATACCAGTTCAGAATGCTTCAATAACCATTTTTGCCACCTCAAGAAGCCCCATGGAGAGATAGGCAGCAAGTGCATTTAATAATAATTGCAATAGGCAGCTTTACGTGGAACAGTTTACATCCTACAACGATGCCTTTAATATTATTCAATGACAGCATCTGCTTATCCCAGATCCTTGGGAAGAACTCAACAGGTTGACAAAAATGCCAAATCCAGTCTGAACATTTGGCGTTATGTGGGACAGACCATCATCTTCATTTAACAACCGCATGATGCCTTGCAGGGTGGAGTCTGGGTAACTGAATGGAGCTAGCAGAGTGTTTTACTGGCCGGATGCCCTTCCTGTCACCAATGCAGAGTTTTGTTCAGCAGATATATTCTCATTGTGCCCAGAGAGAGAAATATCTGCCTCTACCTAGGATCCAACTCCCAGCCTCCTTGTTGTGGAAGGAATTAAAGAAACATCCCTTCAGGGCAGACAGAATCGGTTTATTTATTTATTGCAATAAAGGATCAGACCAGTATCTCTACCAAAGAAAGTCTGAACGACCTATGATTTTCAGCTCAAAGCTTTTATACAGTTTCAAACAAAGGATTCTGTGAAGTCAGCATTTTCTTATTGTCACAGACATTAGTTACACAAAATGACATACCTTAATTACTGAGTTTGTTACTATCTTTGCCAAACAGTTATAATTCTTCTTAGAAGTTACTGAAGCATAGATTCAAATTATCTTCTTGTTGAAACAATAATATGGTCATCTCCGTCTCTCTGACCTTCAAAGTGTAAATCAGCAGACTGTCTTTATCTGTGACAACTGAGGGGCCTTGGTTTACAAATCCTACTTGAAAGGAATGTGTTTGCCTACGTGCTGGATACATTTGCAAGCACAATTTCTCTTCTACAATACTATGAACAAAGAGGGCCCTTCAATGATCATCTAGCTGGACCCGCTTTTATTTTATTTATTACTTTATTTATTACTTTACTACTTTATCCTGATTGCGAGGCGAGAGCTCCACCTCTAGGCCATCGCACCACTTCCATGTGTGACAGACCATAATATTAATTATGTTGCTAGACTAGGTAGGGGTTGGATCTGCTCAATTCCTAATAGATGTTCCTTCCCACTGATTAGTGATGTTTAATGGGAGTTTAAACAAAGCTAGAATCAACCCCCTCTCCCGGATCTAGAGCGGGCCTTAACACTGACATTTGCCGTTTGTTGATGTTGCAGGTATATAGGAGAGTTTATTGAACTTGGAAATGTCTCTGTTCTTCGGATGTTCCGAGTGTTGAGAGCTTTGAAAACAATTTCCATTGTCCCAGGTATGAAATTTATGGAATAATTTCTCATGCTGATATGAATTACAAAAATAATAGAGTTGGGAGGGACCTTGGAGGTCTTCTAGTCCAACCCCTCTGCTCAAGCATTATACGCTATACCAGTGATGGCTAACCTTTTTGCCGTCGTGTGCCAAAAGCAGGGGGAGTGAAGGGGGATCGCGCCCACGTGTGCCCACACCCATAATTCAGTGTGCCCCGCCCCCCCACGCATGCACATGCAACACCACTGCGCTGTCCCCACTTTTGGCACATGATGGCACGGTAGGCCCAGTAGGCCCGTTTTTCACCCTCCCCAGGCTCCAGGCGCTTTCTTGGAGCCTGGGGAGGGCAAAAACAGCCTTCCCCATCCCCCCCCGAGGCCAGAAACGGCCCATTTGCCAACTTCCAGTGGGGGTGGGGAAGGCCCTTTTTGCCCTCCCCAGGATCCTAGAGGATCCAGCCTTTCTAGGCTCCTGGGGAGGGCAAAAAGGGCCTTCCCCACCCCACTGGAGGCCCTCTGGAGGCTAGAAATAGCCTGTTTCCTGACTTCCGATGGGCCTGGAAAGCCCAAAAATCAGCTGGCCGGTGCTGAGCTAGGGCAACACTCGCGTGCCCACCAATATGGCTCCGTGTGCCACCTGTGGCACGCGTGCCATAGGTTCTCCATCACAGCGCTATACCATTTCAGGCAATTGGTTATGCAATCTCTTCTTAAAAACCTCCGGTGTTGGAGCATCCAAAACTTCTGAAGATAATTAATTGTTCTCACTATCAGGAAATTTCTTCTTAATTCTAGGTGGGTTCTCTCCTTGATTAGTTTCTCTCCATTGCTTCTTGTCCTGCTTTCTGGTGCTTTGGAGAAGAGGTTGAAGGTCCCTCTTCTCTGGGGCAGCCCTATAGATATTGGAAGACTGCTATCATGTCTCCCCTAGTCCTTCTTTTCATCAAACTAGACATACCCAGTTCCTGCAGCCATTCTTCATACGTTTTAGCCTCCAGTCCCCTAATCATCTTTGTTGCTCTTCTCTGCACTTTTTTTAGAGTGGCCACATCTTTTTAATATTGAGATTAAAGGTGTCCAGGTCTGAGGGATCCTTGTTGCTCTGAGCTTGGTTGTTTTTTTTTTTTTGTTTCACTAGGTAACATCACTAACACTGATGTTCTTCAATTCTTATGATCTTGACATTTCTTTCATTCTTGTATCTCTCTGCAGGTTTGAAGGTCATTGTTGGAGCTTTGATCCAATCGGTGAAGAAACTCACAGACGTCATGATCTTGACTGTTTTCTGTTTGAGCGTCTTTGCCCTTATTGGGCTCCAACTCTTCAAGGGACACCTGAAACAGAAATGTGTCAGGAACTATACAGAATTTATCAATCAGAGCATAAGTAACATTTCCTATGAGGTTTTCACCAACACTGCAGGTAAAATAGATACCTTAGCTCCTGCCATGACGATTAATTCATTGCATATTTGGGCCTCCTCTTTGAACTATGTATGGAAAGTATGAACTATGTATGGAAAGTGGGAAAAAAATATCTCCCAGAATGAGGCAGTAAGAATTTAATCCCGTATTTGTGACTTAGAAAATTTCAGGAAGTAGGGAGATTTTTTTTTAAAATTTGATTTATATGCTGCCCTTCTCCGGAGACTCAGGGTGGCTTACAATGCGTTAAGCAATAGCCTTCATACTTTTGTATATTTATACAAAGTCAGCTTATTGCCCCCACAAACCGGGTCCTCAATTTACCTACCTTAAAAAGGATGGAAGGCTGAGTCAACCTTGAGCCTGGCGAGATTCGAACATGCAGTAATTGCAGGAAGCTGGATGATAATAGCAGCAGACTAAGGCTATTAGTCTGCTGCGCCACCAGGTTCTGTGGATTGGCTGAGCTTCTGTCTTGATCTTTTTTATTTAAAACAGAGGTTTGGTGGCTTTAAGACTTGTGGACTTCAATTCCTTTGCTGGCTGGAGAATTCTGGGAGTTGAAGTTCACAAGTCCACAAGCCTTAAAGCCGCCAAGTTTTAAATCAGGGACCCCTGATTTAAAACAACGTACTTGTTCTTAAGGAAAAAAGGGTTTCATTCAGGATATGCTGCTGAAAACTACTTTCCTGCATAAATGCATATTAGTCATTTTGGCTTTAAAAACGTAACATATCTGGAAAGACAAGAGGATCAATCAAAGATGTACTTTTGACTGAATATTAAGAGAAAGATGTTTCAGAAGAATCTGGAGAGGTGGAATGGAAGAAAGTTTGGGGAAACAGCCAGGGCTGATTCGTTTGCAGGACATCCCAGTATTTTGAAAAATCAAAAACCATGTGCCTGAGGAGCTGTTCTGTTATTTATAGAGCTGGTCTTTCTAATTCTGCAGAAAATTACCAACTGAAAAATGGCACTGAAGACTTTTTGTTGTGTCGCAATGGCTCAGATGGAGGGTAAGTGGGCCTAGCTATTATTTGCATATTTGAAAATTTCCCCCTTGATTTGAAAACTCAGAATTGCTGACAGAATGTGCATTTCAACAGGATAAGAATCTGGATATTTCCCCCCTCCCCCCGCCCCATTGCTCCTGCTGTAACCACAGGTAGTCCTTGACTTATGACTGCAGTGGAGCGCAAAATTTCCATTGCTAAGCAAGACAGCTGTTAAGTGAGTGATGCCCCATTTTATGACCTTTCTTGCCACCTTTGTTAAGTGAATCACTCCAATTGTTAAGTTAGTAACACGGTTGTTAAGTGAATCTGGCTTCTCCATTGACTTTGGTTGTCGAAAGGTCACAAAAAGGCATTCACATGATTCCAGGACATGGCAACCGTCATAAATACATACCAATTGCCAAGCGCCCGAATTTTGATCACGTGACTGTGGGGATGCAAAAGTGTGCAAAAAGGCCATAAATTGCTTTTTTTTCAGAGCTATTGTAATTTTGAACGGTCACTAAATGAAGGGTTGTAACCCGAGGACTACCTGTACTCATTAAATTTGGATTCTGCCGTTGAACCATTAGGAGAGAGCAGTTAACAATGAAAAAATAAAATACCAAGAAAGGACAAATAAAACTGCTGATTACAGTAGTCAGGAGAGCCAGGAAAAAATAAAGCTTAAAAAGTATACAGGATGTAAGTTTTAACTTCCTGAACAACCTACCGTACCTTCCTGCCTTTAGTTTGGTGCTGGAAGCCACCCTACACAGAAGTCTCTAATTCAAAGAGTTGTAAGAGAAACATGAGGACTAGCATCTTCCCCTATAGGCCACACAGCCAAAACGCTTACCGTATTTTTCGGAGTATAAGACGCACCGGGCTATAAGACACACCTACCTTTTTTGGTGAGGAAAAGAAGAAAAAGAAATCTCCCTCTGCCTCTGAGCAATTTTGCCTCGTTGCAGCAAACAGCCTGCTTTACTTTCAGTTTCATTTTCAGCATAGCTTGATTAGCACAAGGAAAAAAAAATCTGCTCCTGCAATTTACCTCTTTGCAGCAAGCAGCAGAGCCCTGCGCAAAACAGCTGAGGGCAAAACAGTTGAGAGTCGGGAGGCCGCTCCAATCAACTTGTGCTAATTAGGCTGTGCTGAAGCTGAAAGGAGCTGTTTTTTTCTTGCTGTTTGCTGCAAGGAGGTGTAAGGTCCCAAAATATACTTGAGTCACCAGAATGCCAAAGAGAGAGAGACTCAAGACAAGGCTTGCAAAAAAGCAGATTTTATTTATGGCCAAAAACAAGGTATGGCGTCCTTTTATACCCTCAGAGACGTCAGCTTAGTACCCAATTCTGGCCTCCTAATTTAGGTTTGTGTATTCCTTGTTGCCCTGCAAGGGGGAATAGAAACTTCCCCAATTAGTATTATCTTAAGCATTTCTTTGTTTACTCAATTGGCCACTTAGCCCCCTGGTTCTGGAAGACAGGAGTTTATCCAGATCAAACATAAATTAGGGCTGAGGTGTAAATTATCCCTTTGTTGATGGCTGTAGTTTCAACTGAGATAGTACCATGCTTTTAGATGGCACAAGAAAAACAGGAAGAAGATTGATATGGGTTCAGGTCAAATGGCAGGGACATATGTTTGACAAATACATTACAGAGGCCTAATAACAGAATATGTTTGTTACAGGAGATACAAATATAAAGGCATAATATATGTGATACAAATACAAAGGCATATATGTATTACAGGAACCTAATGGTTACAGAATCTAGTATACCAGTATATCATATTCTAGTATTATTTATTATATCCTTATTATTGTTTCCCTTCAGAGGTAACTGCTGGGAGGCAGAGACCAAAGGGTGGGGGCCAGTTGGGGGGGGGCTACATTTGGTGTATAAGACACACCTAAATTTTCACCCACTTTTAGGGGGGAAAAAGGTGCATCGTATACTCTGAAAAATACGGTACTTACTTAAATACAAAAGCCAAATCTAGTGAATCAAAAGTTGAGCAGATGAAGACTTTCACAGTATCTCATGGGCTATAAACGCATAAGCAAGAACATAAAAAATATTTATAGCAAAATACATTATTTTCATTCAGGGAGTTCAGCTAGTAGGGCTTTTTTTTTTTTTTTAGCTGATATGACTTCACATTTAGGCCAGGCCTTAACTTTGATGGGGTGGGGGTGGGGGAATTGAACTGGAGGCATTTTCCAGAAACAGTTTGGATCCCTGTAGGTCACGGGTGTCAAGCTTGCGGTATCATGTTGCCGTTATGTGACTTTTTGTGAGATTTTTCCCCTTTGCAGAGCTGGGGTGAGCGTGTGTGTGATGCATCTGGCCTGCAGGCCGCCAGTTTGAGACCCCTGCTGTAGGTCCTCACCTAATGACCATATGGATTTTTTTTTTTTTACATTTGATTTATATGCCGCCCTTCTCCGGAGACTCAGGGTGGCTTACAGTGCGTTAAGCTATAGCCTTCATACTTTTGTATATTTATACAAAGTCAGCTTATTGCCCCCACAAACCGGGTCCTCAATTTACCTACCTTAGAAAGAATGGAAGGCTGAGTTAACCTTGAGCCTGGCGAGATTCGAACCTGCAGTAATTGCAGGCAGCTGGTCTTAATAACAGGGTGCTTTAGACCACTGTACTTCCAAGGCTCTTGGAATTCACTCAACAAGAGCAATTGGGGTTGTCAGAACTGCCATTGCTATAAGCAGAGTAATCTCTTAATCACCACATCACTTAGAGTAGGGGTGTCAAACGGGATTGACCCCCAGGCCAGATTTAATTGTAGTTCTCTGTGGGCTGGCGGGGGTGGGAAAGTGGGGAGATGAGACGGATGCAAAACAGGGCATGGGGACGGCTTCCTGCAGCACTTTGCCAACCAAAACGGGGCATGCAGAGGCTCTGTGAGGCCGCCACGCAGCCTGTTTTTGGCCTACCCGGCCTCCAGCAGCACTCTGTCAGCCAAAAACGGGCCATGCGGAGGCCCCACAAGGCCTCCGCGCGGCCTATTTTTGGCCGCAGAGTGCTGCAGGAGGCTGTGTTGGCCAAAAAAAAGTCCATGGGGAGGCCGCATGTGCCCCTCCGTGCCCTGTTTTGGCCAGCAGAGGCATCGCGGGCCAGTCCTTTGATATTTCCAGGCCGGCCCCACGGGCCAGATTTACACACCCCACAGGCCGGATCGATCCCGCGAGCCTTGAGTTTGACACCCCTGACTTAGAGATGGAGTGGGTGGTCCCAATTACAGTCATGAATCAAGGACTACCCACACTCTAGTTTAAATGAGAACATCATTTTTTTTTTAGGTCCTGTCCACCACAATACGTGTGCCTGAAAGTCGGAGATAATCCTGATTTTGGCTTCACCAGCTTTGATACTTTTGGTTGGGCTTTCCTCTCCTTATTCCGCCTCATGACGCAGGACTACTGGGAACGCCTCTACCAACAGGTGTGTGTCTGTAGTTCTTGTTTTACTTCTCTGCAGCTTGCTAAAGTTGCTTTTACTCATGCAAAGTTGCAAACGTGCTTTTCCAAAACGCAACTGGAATTTCTTTTTTTTCCTTGAAAAGGTTTCACTTCTCGTTCAAGAAGCTTCTTCAGTTCTGGTAGAAAATAGAAGGATTCATTTTCTTTGCAGTCATCTGGTCATTTGCACTCTGAGAGTTGTTAAGGCCACTTGAGGGTTACCTGTATCCTTAGAGTCACCTGAATCAGAGTGCAAATCAGGGGTGGGTTCTAAATTTTTTTACTACCGGTTCTGTGGGCGTGGCTTATTTTGTGGGTGTGGCTTGGAGGTCATGTGACTAGGTGGGCGTGGCTAGCTGGTCAGAGTCATTTCTGGAAGGTCCTTGCACTTATGACCAGTCTTCGCACTTACGACCCGACTCATTTGTTTGCTTTTAACACTGATCAGCTGTAGGACGGCCCTTTGAAGCCCTGCAGCAAGAGTTTTTTTCCCTCTAGTCATCAGCTGGGACTCAGGAGGCAGCAATAGATTGGGGGTGGGACCAAATAAAAGGTAAGAATAACGTGGGTGGGTGGGAGGGCCGGGGGGGAGAGAACCGGTTCGGTGACATCATATCGTCACCGCTACCGGCTCGGCCAAACCGGACCGAACCAGGAGGAACCCACCACTGATGCAAATGGATGTAAAACTTTTTTGGAACTGCTGAAAAGCCTGTTTTCAAGAGAAAAAAACCCAGGAAAATCTAGTTGCTTTTTGGAAAAGCATCTTTGGGACAATCATTACTTGGATGATTGAGAATCTCCATAGGCATTTACTCAAACAAAGCTCTTTCCTGCACAAAACTATTCTGTCAGATGAAACGTATTGCTTAGTTCCCTGCTTGGCTGCTAGTGTTTTTTTCTTTTTCGACCTGATTGCAGAGTTTATTTACTGGTTTAATAAAATGTTTACACCCTGTCTCTGGTCCCCCAAGCATCCTAAAGTAACGGAAGGCAGCATGAATATTTTTAGCACAGGGGAGTATTTATAATTATGATGACCTCCCACAGCCTGAAGTGCTGGTAGGTTCACTCCACAAGCTGAAAACTCTTTTTTCCCTCTTCTGATCTCATCCTGAGAATAATAAACAGATTAAACTACATGGGGTCAGTCATGGATCCATGCTTGGGAATCTCCCAAAGATTAGGGGGATCCCTGCAGCTTGAGAAGTGGGTAGGCATGTAGGCAATGTGAAATTGTGGGAAACACCCTGAAAATTTTAATGGAAAGGATGGTTGGTGTCCACAACTTGTACTTTTGCCCAGTTCCTCTTATTTTGCTGTTTTAGAAAGAATGTTGAGCAAAGATTCTAGTTACAGTATAATCTGATGTTCATTGCACAAGTTTGGTACCTCTGATTTGGAGCACCTCAATTTGGTCAAGATGTAGGATAGCTTGGGTCCTACTGTTAGACTCTTCCTACAGATTTGGGGTGTCGTGAAAGAGATGGGTGGACTTACCTCTCCACTTAAGGGACAGGACACTAATGAATAGGCCCAGCCATTTGTCATCTGCTGGGTGGTCCTTCACCAAACAGGGGTACAAAGCTGTAACAAATACTCATTTTATTTATAAACCAGCTTTATTATTTTTTTATAAACAACTCCAGGATGCAAACATATCTCCTTCTTCCTTCTATTTTCCCAACAATAACAACCCTTTGAGATGGGTTGGGTTGAGACAGAGTGATTGGACCAAAGTCACCCAGCTGACTTTCGTGCCTAAGGCAGGATTAGAACTCACCATTTCCTGGTGATTGGTTGAAAGTTATCTAGCCAGCTTTCATGCCTAAAGTGGAACTAGAACTCACCATCTCCTGGTTATTGGCCCAAAATCACCCAGTTGGCTTTTGTGCCTAAGGCAGGATTAGAACTCACCATTTCCTGGTGATTGGTTGAAAGTTATCTAGCCAGCTTTCATGCCTAAAGTGGAACTAGAACTCATCATCTCCTGGTTATTGGCCCAAAATCACCCAGTTGGCTTTTGTGCCTAAGGCAGGATTAGAACTCACCATTTCCTGGTGATTGGTTGAAAGTTATCTAGCCAGCTTTCATGCCTAAAGTGGAACTAGAACTCATCATCTCCTGGTTATTGGCCCAAAATCACCCAGTTGGCTTTTGTGCCTAAGGCTGGACTAGAATTTACCATCTCTGATTTCTAGCCTAGTGCATTAAACACAAGACCAAACTGGTTTGTTTGTTTGTTTGTTTGTTTGTTTGTTCGTTCATTCATTAATTCATTCATCCATCTATCTATCTCAAGACAGTAAATATAGCATTCCTTCCTCCATGTTTTTTCTCGCTGTAACAGCAACCCTATGACTCTGACAGGCCCAAAGACCATGATGGCAAACCTATGACACACGTGCCCAAAATGACATGCAGAGCCATGTCGCCTGGCACGCATGGCATTGCCCGTTCCTCTTCCGGGTTTCTGGCTTGCATGTGTGTGCGACGATCAGCTGGCCTTCATGTGTGCGGCAGTGCCAGAAACTGGAAGCTGGTCTTCCATTTTCCTGAGTGATCATTGTCATGATAAAATGCCTAACTGCCATGTCTCCCTGATCCCCCGGACCCTTAAGGGTTAACTAACCACATATCCCATAATCCTTATAACCACTCCTTACCTCTTAACCCCTCCTCCTGGGTACAAAAGGTCCAACCGCATGTTCCACAGGTCATTCCAGATGTATACCTGAAAGAGAAAGGTACAAGGTCAGTGACCTCCAGTACCAACTGATCAACAATAAAACTACTGAAAAGAATTGGGCTATGTCTTTGAGTTATTGGGCTAGATCCAGTTTCTAACAAATTGGTAGCAGAGGTCGGTTGCCCATAACTCCAGACAATGACTGAACCCAACACCTACCCAGAAGAAGCAAACAGAGCACAGACCAGAGCTCTTACCAAGAAGATGGCTGAGAAGCTTCCCACCAAAGCCACAGCCATGGAGGAGACAGAAGCTGGAAGCGAGCAGGACTCCAGCCTGGACTCACAATCAGATGAAGAGGGGCCATCCAAGGAGATCACCGCCCCGGAAGAAGAAACAGCACAAAAAATGAAAAAATTCAAACTCTCCATCCTGAAACTGATGGAGGGAAACAGCGACAAAGAAAACCTCATCGCGGACCTTCAAAGCCTCTTCGAACAACAAGAAGCAGCGATCGAGGCCCCAAAGACAACCGAGAAAGAAAAGCCAGCAAAAAAGGGTAAGCCACCCCAACCTGATGATCCTGAGCCGGCAGAATCCATTTCCGTGCCCACTTCCCGGCGGCCATCTTGGGACGAGCACCAGCCAATGGGAAGCCAGGATTTGAATCCCTTGGCGCGAAAATGCCCGAACCCCGAAACAGACGAGGGGAGCTCAGAAAGCGACTACGAAGAACCCAGCTCTGAGAGCGACCACGAAGAGATCGCAATAACAAAAAGAAAAACGCCTACCGATCTCGAATTGCAAAAGGCAATCGAGACCATCACCGCTGCCCTAGGCTCCGCTTTCGAGCCTCCTGCAGCACTCAAAAAATCAAAGAAAAATCCTGGAGGGCACAAGAAGGCCAGGACAACCAACAGAGACCAGGCAACCGAGTCACAGCATACAAAAAACTCCGCGCGCACCAACAACCGGCACAAAAGACCGCCCACCTGCAGGAAAAATCAACCGCAGAACTCGAACTCACCACCCGCTACACCGGCAACGCGAGGCCCGAGGCAGAAAAGAAGAACCGGCTACTCACCAACGCCACGACACCCATCAGGCCAGTCCACACGACCAGGGACCAGCGACCACGAGGGAGGATCAGCCGCCGCCGCCGCCATTGCCGCCGAGCCACTGGGTGCAGGGAATCCTCAACCTACGACCTCCGCTGCTGCCGCGCCGCCGACCCGCGAAAGTCCTCGACTTGCGACCGCGTCGCCCCCTCACCTTCTCCCCTTCTTCGCCGGGGATCCGGCCATCCAGCAGTGGTGTCCAGCCTCAGGGGGGATCTTCGGACCCACCGGGGGCGGGTCCAGCCTCCCACCGACAGGCCTAGGCCTAGGCCTGGGAGCTCCAGCAACAGGAACCTCACCCGATGGACTCCAGCGCGGAATGAGCTTCGCGCATGCCCAGTACCTGCCTGTAATAAGAGAAGCAAATTACATAGATCCAAGCAAGTACAGAATGGCCACAGACATCCCAAAGCCTTATTGTGAATTTAATCACAACTTGGACCATGGACAGCTCCCCCCAGTAAGTAACCTTACTAACATTTCTGGGGCAAATTATGCCAATTTGCCAAAACTGCAGTTAGATGGGGGTAATATTATAGAATGGAGCCAACAATTAAGAGTTGCTCTCATGAGAGAGAATGCACTGTTCCTAGCTAACAAACCTCCCCAAAAGCCCTGGTCATTGGAAATTGACTGCATTCATCACAGGGCATTTTGTATCATGTTAACCTCCATTCCATCTGCCATGTATCCATCTATTGAGGACAATCTAACTGTTTATGATATTATGCAAAAACTATGTAACCTGTTTTATAGCCAAAGCAGAGCCACCACCACTAGACTATCTAGGGAGTTCCACTCCACCAAGCATAAGGCAGGGGTCCCCATGAGTGAGCACATCTTAAAGATGAATGCTGCAAGGGCAGAACTCATGCAGAGGGGGGAAATCATCACTGAAGAGAGCATGATAAGCATAATCATAAACTCTCTTGATAGCAGCTGGGACATCTTCATGACCCAACTAAATAGCCTCAACTTGCAATACCTCACACTAGGCGCACTGACCAGTCAGCTCGTTGCAGAGGACACTCTGAGGAGGGAACGCCAACTAGCCAAAGGGGACCCTAGACCCACAAAAAGGGTGGATTTCCAGGATAGGGCCAGGGATACCTCAGAATGTTATTCTTGTGGATCAAGGAACCACTTAAAAAAGGATTGCCCCAGGAACCATAGGGA